CTACAGATGTATGAAGAAATTGCCGACAAATTGCTCTTCAGATTGCTTTACACATATTGCGATCCACATGATTACTCCTCGAAGAAAATGGTAAAATTCATTTAAAATAGCTATTGCTACAGATACCGTACAAAATGTATGTTTTTATGAGCAATTTTTAATTATTATAATTATGATTTATTTTTACGCAAAACTTCGTTACTTAAATTTACACTAATCAAAAAATATTTTTAAAAAATGTAAAATTGCTTCCCATTTTTTAATTTCTCTTTTATATTATGCATCATTTCTACTTCCATTCCATATATTTTGTTACAGATCTTACAAGAGTGTGCTATCACTGTCAGTAGTGATCACAAAGTGTAACATTATTTTAATAATGTGCAATACGTGAATAACATACTTGCAATACTCACGACTACTTAAAATTATTATCAAATGCTCAGATTTTATACTTTAAACCGTACAGATTATACTTTTGAACCAGATATCTTATCAATTTATATTAGAAGTTATTTATTTTTAAACAGTTGATAACATAATATCTTGCAGCAAATTATGTAATAAAAATAATATTTTTAGTAAATTTATGATCGTATTCAAGTTTATACTGTTTGAGTTAAGTTTATAATTTCATTTACTTTGACATAATTGTATTTGTATTGAAGTTGTTGAGTTTAAACTCAATTAGCTGTCGTGAATTGGCAAGTTTAAATTTCGAGTTGAAAAGAGAAATTTTATTAATACTCTTATAATAGAAAATGGCGCATTCATCGGCAGAATTTTCAGAATATTTTGGCATTCAAAATGAAATTTATGTTCATCTGTCATATTTTTTATCAACTGTCATTTATTATATAATTGTGTATTATGTATTTTTATTTCCAATTCAAGTTGTATGTGAATTGTTTTTTTTTATTTTTAGAAATTTTTTATTTTCTTCTTTATTGTTTATGAGATTTTTATTTGAAATTTTTGTAAAATAAAAAAGTATTTTATTAAATTGCTCAATATTTTTATTATTTGCACTTTTTCTAATCTTGTTATCCAATACTATTTTCCGTTACTCGTCCGTAATGGCGCAAAAACGAATTAGAAATAATGGTACATTCATCAATTAAGAATTTCTAGATTTTGGGATAAGTTCTGGAGGTATTTTGAGTACTTATTAAAACTAAAGACTTTGGTTAAGACCAAACGCGTGACTCAATAAGAAAAAATTACAATCGAAATTGAATCGATTTGTCATTTATTTTCTGAGATCCAGGTATAAGTTCAAATTGTTGACTTTTTTTCCACTTCAGTTTTGACCATATGCAATACTCTCAATTGGGCATTTTGTTAAAGTTTGAGGGAAATTATAAGTATTATGTGTAAATTTTTTAAATTAATCTAACATTTTATAATACTATATATATTAATATCTATATATCTATAACACTATCTATATCACATATTAATCTAACATTTTACGAAATGTTATCAAATGATCTTAATTTATTATCAATTATATGAACTTAATTTTCTATTGGAATTTCGAATGAACATTAAATTTCGAATTTTTACATTCAATTATTACATTAAATCATTATACTCATATGAGGCTTCAGAAAATTTAAACATAGAAAATTTGGAATATATTTTGTGAATATTCCATATTCACGGGTGATACCATTAATGAAAAATATAAAAAAAACATTTATTTTACAAAATGTATAAAACACTGGTAAGGTCAAATTCTTATGTATCCAAATATTAATTTGCTAACTGCCCGAAGTCAGGAATAAAATTAGGCATACTTATGTAAATGAAAAGAAGCCGCTAAATCGCAATGTTATTTTATCGCAAATAACATTCATTTACTGATAGTGTACTTATACACCGTTAGTATAGGCTTAATATAAACATTAAATACAAAATAATCAAAAAAATAAATCAATACTAAATAAGTATGTAATTTGTGTTTTCATTGAAATATGTATGTATATTAAATTGATTATTAAAATAAATAACTAAATTATTGTGGTTCACAGGGAAAGAAATTACTTTTTTATCTAGCAATATTAATCTAATATTTGGACGAGATTGAACACATTTCACTCAATTAAAATTCTATATTATGATATTCGTACAAAATCGTATGAATTATAGAATAGTTCTTTTATAAAAATAAAAATAAGTTCTTCTATATCTCATTCCAGGATCTCGGACACTTTAATTTTTGTTACACCAATTGTTATTTCAAAAACTTGCCATATAATATGCACATATCTACGTTATATTAAAAACAAAACTGACAAATCGATGTAATTTTTTCTGTTATTTTAATTATTGTCAAAATTGAAATTGTCAAGCTAATCTAAAATATATGTAAGTAGGTCATAACAAATTTATTACCAGGAAAAAGTATTAACACCATTTGGATTGCTTGGCAATATACCGTTATACTGAAAGCATTAATACTTTGCATATTTTATTTTATTTATGCTTATAATATATAAATCACGGTATATATAAATTTGTATATTTACATAGATACGCACATATTAAGTTAGTTAAATAATTAATGTTTCAGTTTTAAGTTATTAAATGACATTTTAAGGTCTAATTTATTGTTATAATTATTGAAAATTAAATGAAATTACAAATATATTTTCTAAAATTCTTTATTTTTAAATCTTATACCTATTATAGTTGCGTACTACACATTCAACTATGTAAATACTACACATACAATATTTGCGGGAATGACTTGTGTCATTAAAGTAAATGGGAAACTGTTTTTCAACACAATTCGAATAAGTGATTTTTAACTTTTAACTGATTGATTTAAGACTGATGTGTTTGAACGATTTACCTGAGCAACTTTGCAAATGTTTTCAACTATTTTAACATTATTGTTATTTGTTTGTATCTCCGTGTAAGTTTTTAACAATATCGTTGGCAGACTGATTTGTTATTTAAAAATTACATTACTATAATGACATTTTAATTAAAACTTTATTATAGTAATAAATAGCAGTTTCGTGTAGACATGTAGATACTTATACGAGTAGTTGTGATTCAAAATATTAATGCTGTGATGTACTTTTCTAAACGGTATTATAAATTCATTTTTCCGCTTGCAATGAATTTACTAAGAATTAATGGGTTCTTGTTCACCTTCAAATTTCTACCATCTTTACTATCATGACTATATGTTTGACTATATCGATAATTTTAACATTATTTGAGGTGTATTCTCCAAATTTTCGGAATTCTACAAATTTTTATTATCGGAGTCCTACTTAATTCAAAAGTTTTCAAGTTTTATTAGAAAAGTTATTTAAGCTAGGGACCTTGGCCGGTTTCTGAGGAACTCGGACTGGTTCTAAGTGCATCCCTTGGAGAGCTACGTAACGTCGGAAACTATGAAGGTTAAAGTATGCAACCTTTTTTAACACATTCTTATATGTTTAATTTCAGAAAATAATATAATATACAGTTATTAAAACTACCAGTTTTGAGTCTGGAGAAGGGGTAACTTGTAATCAGTATTACATAAACTCTGCCTAGCATTTTAGTTTCTTGATGACAAAAATATTTTTCTAATATGTAAAACTGCCTCATTTTCTTAAAATTTTAATTAAATTTACACTGTACTCGTATTTGATATACGAAAACCTACAACAACATATACATAGTGAATTTATTTCAACCACATAGCTACACTCTTTTTTTTGTTCTTAAAATTTTAAATTTATACTCTCAAATCTCAATTTATCAGTTTAAACCAACATACATACATACATAAATATTAAACATAATTGCGTAATTATTTCCAAAACTGTCAAATTGAATTTCATCATATGAATTCATAATACGAAGAAAATAAAGAATTTCATAAAAAAAATTGTCAAATTCAAGAGAGCGTTCCTTAGGTAAATAAAATAAAAAATTAAACAATATAATTAAAAAAGCTTCTGATAACTACACAGCTGTCATTTTTATGTTTATCAGAATGTATAATGGACGCACAAAAAAATTGAATGAAAATTTACTAAAAAATTTTAAAAAAGTAACAAAAAAGCACATTTTTGCTATCAGCAATCCGAATTTCTATATCATTTACGGAAAATTGAATAGTATGTAATTATGTCACAAATATCGTCGTAAGTGTGGTAGCCGTAAAGTGTAAAATGAAATTATGTATTTTTTTGTAAGAGATAATTTTTTTAAATGGGACTTGGCTTGAAATTGTATTTCAAGCATTAAATTATGTCGCAAATTCTAGTACTGTAGTTAAAAAATATTTACACGTCCCGTTAAAATGTTTACAATTTAAAAATTTGAAAACCCATAGAATAGCAAAGCTGTAACAACATATTTTTAAATGTATACATGATAATGTAAACATATTATAACACTTAAGGAACTAGGCTCATACAAAGAAGTAGTTACGCAAATTTATTCCGGTAAATTGCTTCACATTTAAAATTTTCAATTTTTAAATTTATGGACTTTTTTTTTTTCCTAAATACGTGAAAACTTTCATAGGGATAGAAGTTATTATACGGCTTAGACAAGTTTAGTGGGATAGACAACTTTAATTTAACTAAAATTTTCAAAATTTTCTGATCTTTACATTATTCATAAAATAGCTTAATATTGTCTGCCAAGAAGCAAAATAGCTATTGGCAGGCAATGTTAAGCTGATATTACTCTGAAAGGAACTCCAACCAAATGGACAAAAATCGTTACTCCGCACAACAGACCAATATGACTAAAATATTAGCAAATTTTTTGAAATTTACAATATCAAGTTGATTAAATTGTTTAATTATCTAAAAAAAATTCAGGTTCATCTTTTACGCGAGAAAACGTAAACAAAATTAAAAATGAAAAAAACAAAAAGAAAAAGCTTTTATCTTTAAAACATCATTGTCGCGAGAGGGCTTTCCGATTACAATAAATTCAAATAAAAAAGATCAAGTTCAGTTCCTTCATATATCAGTATTATTAGGAAATTTGAACGGTCAAGACTTAATTTTACTATACAAATATCACCTTAATTTATAGTGTGAAGTGAAACTTTGTCGGTTCAAAAGCAATATTATTATTATTCTAATTAATAATTAATTAATTTCGATTGTATTTATTTTTTTCTTAAAAAAATCCACTTTAATTTTGAATTATTTTGCCTTTAATATTTAAACTCAATAACATTAAATAAAAGTGAAAAATGGAAACATCAACAAACGGTCAAGTTTTAGATCCCGCACTTTATAATGAAGATGAATTAGTACCACCAACATGGATTAATGGTGAATTTTTTGAAACTGTTCTAAAAACAGCTAAAAAAGGTAAGTTAAATAAACAATGTCTACTATTAAAATAAGTCTAGTGTTATTTGTTAAAAATTTACACTAGGTTCTAGCTATTCTAGTTTGCAAATCGAAAATGAAATATTAAAAATTATTTCTTTTATCTGCAATTGTAATTAGATAAGCATATAATTCCATTACAGATAAGTTATAAACCAATTATATTTCAATTAATTCAAAAACACGTTGAAATAATTGAGGAAACTTAAATTTGAAAACGACAAACCTTATAATATAACCATTAATAACTTACTATCAAAATTTACAATATTAAATTCAAAATTACTCTTCTATTTATTTTTACTTTGTAATTTCGTTTTAGGTGATATTGAAAAAATTATCAATTACAATATTAGTCCAGCAACTCTTAAAGGTGATCATTTTGCTAGTATTATGTTTCGTGGTGTCGTGCAATATTTAGATAAATCAAATACTAAACAAGAAATATCATTAATAATTAAGACAATGCCAGAAATTGAAGGTAATAAAAAGGATATATTAAGTGATTCTACAATATTTGAAGTTGAAATTGATATGTTCCGTGATGTAATTCCAAAATTTGAAGAAATGTTAAAATCAGTTGGTGATAATACAAAATTATCGGCAAAGTATGTTAACCATATTCCATCTTACATTGAAGTTAAGAAAAATTAATTAAAATAAAATTAATTTTCAGTATGCTCTATTATTCATTAAGTCCACATAAAGTTATTGTACTACAAGATTTAACAAAACTAGGATATACAACAATTGGTCAAAGAATGTGTACATTAGATGAAATAAGAATGGCATTAGGAAAATTAGCTAAATGGCATGCATGCAGTTATATACTAAATCAAGAAGTAAGTTTTATTTTTTTTTTGCATTTATATTGTATTGTCTATAGTAATCGTTTTGCTAATTTTTTGAGGAAAGTAATTAGCAACGTTTACTACAAATTTTATGTAAAATTTCAGATATTTTAATAGTTAATTCAAATTTCTGTGTCAAGTTTACAATAAGAAAACGTTTATCTTAAGTCTCATTAGTATCTATACGATAACTTCTTTTTTGAACAATTAATTGTCTTTATTACACTGGCAGAAGAGTGTAGAAATTTTATAACAATCTTATCATTTTATTTAATGGAATTTTTTCATTTTCAACTCTTTATATAATTATTGTTGGAAAAGGGTGTGCGAAACACTACATATTATTTTGATTATACACATTAGAAATTTGATAGTTGATTTCATATTTTTATTGTATAATAATTTTCATATTTTTATTTACTAAGATAATACTTAATTGTTAGGAACAAAAGCTCCTTTTAATTAGAAACAGAAAAATAATTTTATATCGCGTAGCTCACTCCGAAAGCATTTCCAAACTAAATTTACTTGATTTTATTACGTGTAATTCTTAATTAATTTATAATTTGTTGAAAGCTTTAAAAATGATAACTAGAATTCTAAAATTATAACCCGCTTCAATATAATTTTAGTTTATACTTTGTCATCATGATTTATAAATTGTTAGAAATTAGATGTATTTGTATATTTATAAAAATCTTAAAGTAAAGAGTCCCATGATAAAGTTAGAACATCTACTAATATTAAATAATATTAAATATTTTAAAATACTTCAATCTGCTTGTGTTAGTTATGTGAATTGGTCAAATATTGGTTCTTACAATATTTACGGTCAAAATTTACTATTTAAATTTAATATTAATAATTACTACACTAGAAAATAAAGTATTATTGGACTGGTGAGCTTTGCTTGCACTAGAGAAAGGAATCTTAGGAAAGTTTCAAGAAGCAGCTTCAATCCTATTAGCTATAGGCGAATGATTATGGAGTATAGTTTTTACTTTGCATCTTTAAAAAATGTTCGTCTTTAATAATTACAGTAGAGTTAGTAGAAGAGATTTAAAAGAAAAAAATACTAATTTTAGGTAGAATTTCTTAGCCTATTTCTGCTCATCCTCTCAAAATTAGGCAAGTAAAATTTATGTTTAAAATGAATCGTGATTGCAATATTGTGCTTTAACTAACGCTTTAAATTTCATTTGATATTTCAAAAAAAAAAAACTCTGAAACTTGATCGCGACCATTTCTGAACAGCATGTAAGGGCTGAGATGAGCATCAAAAATGGCTTTTTTATATACCTAGTAAAGGAGTCTCGTTAATTATGTTGATGTAGCTCCACTTGTTAATAAGTTTAGATTTTTATTCGTCAACAGTTTTTTGAATGTTTTATTACATTTAAATGAATGCTGTAAAATGCAGAAATGCTTCTTGTAATAAAAATAATATTTAAGCAACATTCTCTAGATAAAATATGTAGAAATTTTTCGACATCATTACAATTTTTAATTGCTTAATCAAATATTTTCATTTTAAAACAAACTTAACGTAATTATTATAAATTTCTTAAAGTTGTCTCTTTAAAAACCATTTTACTTGGAGCACAGGATTTAAATAAAAGCTGGTGTTATAAAATAACAAAATAAACGATCTATCAACTTTATAATTAAGTTTTTAATGTCAAACCGTCAAACCCAATGAATTTTAGTACCATTTGTTTGCTTTAATTTTTCTGTAGAATTAAAACTTCGCATTTTTTGCTGAGACAGTTTCCACTTTTTAAACCCTTTTGTTTAATACCTCTAACTTTTAAAAATTTCTAATTTTAAAAATTTTTCAAGTAATAAATCTTTTTTTTTCCAAAGGTCTTTGTCACTATTGACATAGTCCAAAAAAATTTGCCCGCTTTGAACAATTTTTTACCCTGATAATCACATTTCTTTATTTGGGAAATCCTTTCCTTTCATATTTCTAATTAAAATAATGTTTTATAAATAATTAAAATATGACAACATTATCGGGCTATAAAAAAAACTTTCTAATTATTTACCTAAAAAAAATCCTTACGAGGCTGCTACGAAAAATGAATAATTGTGAGGAAATTTTGAATTGAAAAAATTCCTAAATAAATCTAATGTGCAGGCTGAATCAAAATTTTTATTATCTAATAATGAAATTGTAAATAATTTGAATTTGCAATAATATTTATAGAATTGTAATGAAATGCTGCTCTAAATTCATTATTGTAGCAATACGCTGATATTTCCAAAAAAAAGTTAATTAATTGTACGCAAACCCCATCGATTCCCTTTGCACTATTGATGAAATTGATAAAATATAACTAATTTGAAAAAAAACCAATTGTTTTAATAAATTAAAGACTAACAAAATTCTTTACTTTATTATGTGATTTTAGATTAATGGTGGTTTGGAAAAATTTATTAGTGGAACATTTAATATGCCTGGTGTAGATAAGAATGAATGTTTTACTAAAGGAACTGAAAGATTAGCAAATTTAGCTCGTGAAACACCAAAATTACAAAAATATGCTGACAAATTAGATCAAGTTAAGCATTTAGTATTGCCGAAATGTTGTGAAATCTATGATATGTGCAAAACAAAAGGCCACATTAATGTTTTATCACATGGTGATTTTCATGCAAAAAATTTAATGTTTAGAATTAATCCAAAAACTCAATTAAGTGAAGAAGTATTACTGGTAAGTCTTTTAAATCAAATAAAAATTTTTCATTATTTTTACATATTTCTAAATTTTTTAGATTGATTTTCAATTTTGTGTATGGGGTTCAATGGCTTTAGATATTTTATACTTTATTTATATGGCAATTGATTTTCAACTTAGAGAAAAAGTTTATGATGAAATGATTTACGAATTCTTTTGTAAATTTCGTGAAACATTAAAATTATTGAATTATAAAGGAAAATTACCAAAATTTTCTGATTTACAAAAGGATTTGTTATTGATACGTCGTTCAGAAATTTATATAGCTTCAACATTTTTACCATTTATGGTATCTTTTATTGAAAATCCAGAAACTGGACCAGAAGATATTGTAAATAGTGTTGATAAACAATATGAATTATATAAATTACAAGGATATATTGACACGATACAACCGACTTTAGAACGTTTTTTAAATCGTGGATACTTTGATAATCTACTTGAAGATGACGATGAATGAATTTGATTGGAAATTTACCATACAATCATAAGTGAACCTCACACTGATCCAAAAACAAATGTAATAATTAAATCTTGATTTTTCCTAAAATAAAATATATTTTTATATTCAAGCACTCATTTTATTTTTCTCATATTTGACGTGAAAGAATTAATAAGATCTCTTAAAAATCATGTCAAAAGATGACAACATTTTTATAAATTGCAAATTTTATAAATTGAGATTTAATCAATGAACTTACCCTATTTAAGCTTTGTATTTTTAGGAAATTACATGTAAAGAATAAATTAGCGAGGTTGAACTGTAATTGATTAACTTCTTTTCTAAATAAAAGTTCAATACATAAATATTAAAATGTTACCAACGAAAACATGAATATGGACTTGTTTAATTAAAATGACAAATTTTAAAGTACTACTGAACTTAAAACCAAAGAAACAATTCAGTGAACAACTTAAGACAAATAAATTTAAACATACCCCAGAAATTACGAGAAAACCGTGTGTTGTACCATAATAATAAAGCAAAATAATTCACCAAATTGAAGAGAAAATTGTCAATGCAACTATGTAAAATTAAATGACAATTTATTTTCAGTTTTATTAATTTACAATTTATTTGTTTTAATAATTATAAACAAGGAAGCATTTATTTTGTTTGTTAACATAGCTATTGTTATTGCGACAAATATTGACAAACTGCATAATATCTTTTACTTCATCTTATTTGTTATCGTAGCTATTGTTATCACTTCAATAATGCAAATAAACTTCGAATTTCACAAGTCTATTCAATAATAACAGATAACAAAAATCTAATCCACAAGTGGAAACTTAAATAATTTAATCAAAAACTACTCAGCCGCATACTGAAAGATAATACTTGGTAATTTGAAATAATAAAATTTGTTAATAATAAGAAAAAACGTAAAAACATACAGATTAGAAGTAAAATCTGCTAAAAATGATCTTAACCGTTTCCTATTACAAATTTGAAACAAATGAGAAACAAAAATCATTAGGGGTCTGCCTAAAGTCTTATAATAACAACTTGGTTTTGTAACTATTATTTTATCAGTCATAAAAAAAGTCCCGATAAACAAAAATATGTATTTTAAAGAAAACTGATAATTATTATTTAGTGGAGATTTTTGTTGGAATTGGAACGGTTTTTCATATTATAATGTTCGTTTTGACTTCTTGCCGCTTATATTTTTCTTTTGGTCTCTGATCTTCGAATTAATGCTGCAATATTTTATTAAAAATTAATGGAATCAAAATTAAAGAAAATATTTTACTGAGAAAAAATTCATTAGTCAAACAAATAGTAAAAGAAATCTAAGCACGTGGTTAAATTAGAAACATCAGAATGGGCAGACAATTCACTTGTCATACATAACATAATCATTAGTGATCTGTAAATTTTGCGCGCATTTGAGCAAAATAAACATGGTATTTACGGAAAAGCTTTTATAATTATTTATAAAAAATTGTTTATAATATCTACGAGAATATTTTTAATTATAGATAAATGCTCTTTAATATGAGTGTATGTAAACAAAACTAATATCTACGTAATGAAAAGAGCTTTTTTGTTGGCACAAAAACTTTAAATGCTCTGGCAGCTTTTATTTTTCATTCATAATCAGTATTATTTATAATTTTCATTAATTAGCAACGCTACAAAATATTTAATTTTAGAATTTGGTGAAACCTCATGAGTTTTCATTAATAACTAGCGAAAAAAAAAACAAAAAAAAAAACTGTATGAATTTTTTACAAATTCCATTAAAATTCATAGCGATTGACAGAAATGAATGCAACTGACATAGATCCCAGTTTGTATAATGTTGATGAACTAGTACCACCGGCATGGATGGATAGAGAGTTTCTCGAAAAAGTTTTAAAAACAACAAAAAAAGGTAACAATTAGGTGAATCTTTAAAGTTAGCAAAATATGGTGAAGCAATATAATGTTAAGCGCATTGTAAATTTACTTAATATAGTATACATACTAGTTATCTACACACATAGATATAGGTAAGAATCATTAGAGTCTGAATTTTTACATGACATAGTTCAGTCTAAGTTGCTCAACTATATGTAATCGCAATTTTTGCAATTTATTGATTAAAAGGAAATATAACACAAGTCAATGAATAAAGCTGGTTAATTTATGACCATGATCATAAGTATAGCTATTGAAACCTTGATTAATTTTTTCAGGCACTCGAATCACTGCTGCTAGTGTTGTAAAATCATGAGACTATTACTAATATTAAACAAATTTCTACCTATTTAGTAGATTATTATGTCAAAGTATATAAAGTCGAGGAAAATACGAAATCAGGGCAAATAATTTAATTTTGCTAGAGTAGTTAGAGCTGCGAGTTAGAGTATGATAGAAAATTTCTTAATTAGATACTGCATAACACATAAAGTGTGTAAGCGAAAAATGCATAAAATTAAATTTCCTTTTGAGCTTTTATTTTACATAGTGTCCTTCACTTTGCCCATATTACTTTATTTTTGCAAAATACAACGTGGTGATCATTCCTCTGTATTTCAGTAATTTTCATTTAGATAACAAAAGCTTAACATGATTTTGAGACTTGATTAGAATATGAACTATAAGACAAGAAATTTCTGCAAAATGGAATCAATAAACTTTGGATAGTAAAAGTTACATTTTTATATTTTTTGTGTTTAGATGACTTCCATGCAATCATTGAATATAATATTGGTCCAGCTACACTTAAAGGTGATCATGTAGCCAGTATTATGTTCCGAGGTGTCGTGCAATATTTAGACAAATCAAATACTAAACAAGAAATATCATTAATAATTAAGACAATGCCAGTAATTGAAGGTGGTAAAAAAGACTTATTGGATGGCTCAACATTTTTTGAGGTTGAAATTAAAATATTTCGTGATGTAATTCCAAAATTTGAAGAAATGTTAAGATCAGTTGGTGATAATACAAAATTAGCTGCAAAGTATATTTTTAAATTTATTTTGGGAACTACTACTAGTAAAACTTAAAAATTCGTATTTTAGTATGCTCTACTATGCGTTAAGTCCACAACAAGTTATTGTACTAGAAGATTTAACAAGAATGGGGTATTCAGCTATTGGTCAAAGGAAAACTACAATGGAAGAAGCAAGAATGGCATTAGAAAAGTTAGCAAAATGGCATGCATGTGGTTATATACTCAATAAAGAGGTAATTATTTTCATTTCATAATATTGTTGGTTAGTAAATATGACCTTGGTAAATCTATTGAGTTAGAGCAGTTTTAACTCTTGAAATAGCTAAAAATTAAAATACCAGAATTCTCATATTATGCACATCAATTTCTTAAAATATGCTTTCAATATGAATGCAATAATTGCAATATAAACATTATGTTTTTTTTTCGATACGTCAGTGTCGAATCAGTGTTTTTAGATCACAATATCAAATTAATTTTAATATACTTAATACCTATATTTTTAATTATCTGTTGTAGACAAATGGCAGTTTAGAAAAATTTGTTAATGGAGTTTTTAATATGCCTGGGATGGATAAAAATGATTGCTTTACTAAAGCAACTGAAAGATTAGCTAGATTGGCTCGTGAAACACCAAAACTTCAATAATATGCTGACAAATTAGATCAAATCAAACATTTGGTATTTCCAAAAACTCGAGATCTCTATAAGTTATGCAAAAACAAGGGTCGTATTAATGTTTTAGGGCATGGAGATTTTCATTCAAAAAATTTAATGTTCAAAATCAGTTCAAGGACAAAATTAACTGAAAAAATAATGCTGGTAAGTTCAAAAAATTACGAGTACTATTGAGTCATATTTTTTTAAAACAACAAAAATATTTTCTTTTTAGATTGATTTTCAAGCATCTGTATGGTGTTCTATGGCTGTGGATTTATTATACTTTATTTATTTGACAATTGACGCAAAATTTATAGAACAATCTTTTGATACATTAATTTATGGTTACTTCAACAAATTCCGTGAAGCATTAAAGTTATTGAATTATAAAGGAAAATTACCTAAATTTTCTGATTTGCAAATTGATTTATTAACGGTACGTCGAGTTGAGATTTATTTAACAGCAACATTTTTACCATTTATGGTCTGCCTAGTTGAACATCCGGAAATTGAATCAAATGACATTTTATCAAATGTTGAAAAACAATATGACTTATTATATAAATCCCAGATGTATATTGATTTAGTCGAGCCAATATTAGAACGTTTCTTAAATCGAGGATACTTTGAGAGTCTACTTGAAGATAATGACGACGATGGGGAGATTTAATTAAAAGAAAATTAGAAATTAAAAAATTAAAAATTAAAAATTAATTCAATATGTCAAATTTAACATCAAAATTTTAGAAATTGTTTTTTTTTTTTTTTTTTTAATGAAAGTAATTTTATTTTGGTATAAAACCAAAATTAATTTAAATATTTTTTTTGTAATAAACAATTTTAAATGAAAATAATTTTATATGAATACTTAAGTATATACTTAAGAGATCATTACTGCATTATTGTGTGTTTTAGTGCCAACAACAATTTTATGTGATCCTATCCTCTTTTTATCTCTTTTATTGTTTTTTTAGAGCCCCACTTATCGTAACATATCCTTATAAACCGAAACTTTCTTCGTCATTTTAAAATTTAAGCCCAAACAACCTTTAATAAAATTTCAACATTCTTTAGAAACTTTTATTTTGAAATTAATAAGTGAGTGAGGTAACAAATTAGCTCTTATAATGTGTGTTTGTGGTTCTTTCCAATATGCTCTCAAAAATCTCATTTTGTCATCCTTAACTAAGCACCTAAGTAACAACAAGACTTACACAAAGACGATCACATGATGATCTCTTTGCTAACAGAGAGGAGCTAGGGAAATAATGTTTGTTTTAATTAAATTTTAATATCAGAGAAATTAAAAATTTTTTTGCAATATGTAATGTGTATTTGAAAGACCATATCCGCGTATTATATAATTTAAGACATCAAAGGAAATAATATTTGCACGAAATGTTTTTCATTAATTAATTTGTCTTATATTTTTGATTATCTGTGATAACTATATTTACTCTCTCAGCTCTCTTAACTAAGCAAAACAAGTGTATAACAATGAATAAGCTTTTATTTCTAAAAGATTATTAAAGCTGAACTATCTACGGTTCTATTTTTATTTTGAAATAAAATTTAAAAGATTGCGATCTATCTATTCATATTTTAGTATCGTTAAATGTTTTGAATAATCAACAAAGCATTTTATTATAAAAGTATTTTTTTTCTTTTAATTAAAGGAAATCTTAGGACCATTTCAAGAAACCTAACCTCAAGCAGATTAATAAACTGTCATCTTTATTTTTATTGATTTTATCTCAAACAAGAATAGTATAAAATAACTTTTACCATTTAACATGATGGAAACAAATGGCGGCCCATTGGATCCCAGTTTATATAACGCTGATGAACTGCAACCGCCAGCATGGATCAATGATGAATTTTTTGAAACTGTTCTTAAAACAGCAAAACAAGGTAATGAAATTCAAAAGAAAAGTAAATCAATTAGTAAAAAAATTCAAACTATTAGTGATGATTTGTACAATTAAATGTAGCAAATAAGAAAATTTGAAAGATTCAAATTACATTTTCAAATCTTACCGAAGACATTTCGAAAAAATTATTTTGAACTTTTCAAATGTTTAACGATACTGTTCAAAACTTCACATTTGTCATTTTTCAATGCATTTAGAGCATATAAGATTGTCGTGTTGCTAATGCTAGAGCGTTTTAAAAATTAATAGAAAATTTAAATCAGTCCCCGAAAGAAATCACCATTCCTTTAGGAAATCTATAACTTTTTTAAATATTTAGTTTTTACATTTTTTTATTGTCAGGAGATATTCAAAAAATTGTCAAATATAATATTGGTCCGGCTTCATTGAGAGGTGATCATTTTGCTAGTATTATGTTTCGTGGTGTCGTACAATATTTGGATAAATCAAATGCTAAACAGGAAATATCATTAATAATTAAAACGATGCCAGAAGTTGAAGGCAATAAAAAAGAATTGCTAACTGAAACAAGTATTTTTGAAGTTGAAATTCAAATGTTTCGAGATATAATTCCAAAATTTGAAAAAATGTTAAAATCAGTCGGTGATAATACAAAATTAGCGGCAGAGTATAATAAAATCAATAATACAGAAAATAGTTTTTATTAAAATTAATTTTCAGAATGCTTTATTACACTTTAAGTCCGCGAAAAGTGATTGTAATTCAGGATTTATCAAAAATGGGTTATTCAAGTGTTGGCCAAAGGATGTGTACAATGGAAGAAGCACGAATGGCATTAGAAAAATTAGCAAAATGGCATGCATGCAGTTACGTCCTCAATAAAGAGGTAAATTTTACGTTTTATTATTTTGGAAAATAATTAATATTTAAGAATTCGATAGTGGATTGATATCATTTTACCTTCCATTGTTTTAGTAAGTTCTTGTAGATTTTCTTGCTTAATTATAAAATAACACATTATTTAAAGACATCAAGAACTGTTGTACGGGATTGTTTATCAATATCAACACAATATGACTTTACATAATATAATTGTTTTGCAACAATTATTGTATACAATTTTTAATTCTTTAAGTAGCATTGAATATGTTCGAAAATGCTAAAAGCTCTCTTAATGCATTTTTCAATACATACTTTTAAATGTGCTAAATAATAGTTTACACAACAATTATAAGATTTTGGTTACCTTCTTTCACACTATTGCAATTGAACTTTGCAAACAATTGTTTGTAGTGCATGCATACAACTCTACATATACATACATTCGTAATGAAATTCGCTATTTAAGCTCAGTTATTTTATAATAAGCTTTATAACAAGCTTTGTACTAATGTAAAAGTTATCTTTTTTCAATACCAAGGTCTTTTTGAATTTTTTATTCAGGTAGTCTTGTTTTTAATGATAAGATTATCTTATCATTCTACGATAAGAGTTGATTGTAAAATAATTGCACACTTTTTCGAAATACAATTTGCATACTTTGTTCTTAGAGAGCCTATATTTGATAACAAGAGTATCCAATTTGCAAAAGCACGAGTTTCGAAAAGAATATATTTATAGAAGGCCTAAGATAAAATTGAATGCAATTTAAAACTATAAATTACAATAAATGTTTTTAAAAAATTGATTAAAATTAAAGAATATTTAAAAGTATCTTTACTTATAAGTTATTCCTATACCATTCAATTAATTCTGATCAACTTTTGATACTATTCTCTTTTTAAGACCAATGGTAGTTTACAGAAATTTGTTAACGGGGTCTTTAATTTACCTACTTTGGAATCGAATGTTTGCTTTACTAAAGGAACTGAAAGATTAGCTCAATTAGCACGTGAAACACCGAAACTACAAAAATATGCTGATAAATTGGACCAAATCAAAGATTTGGTATTACCGAAAATTCGAGATGTGTATGAAGTCTGCAAGAAAAAAACTCGTGTAAATGTTTTAGGGCATGGTGATTTTCATGCAAAAAATTTGATGTTTAAAACTAATCCAAAAACAAAATTAAGTGAAGAAGTATTCTTGGTAAATTTTTACTATTAACAATAACCAAATACAAATATCAAAATTTTTAATTTTAGGTAGATTTTCAAGTTTCAATATGGTGTTCCATGGCTATTGATCTGTTATATTTCATTTATATGGCAATTGAATTAGAATCAAGAGAAAAATATTTTGAAGAATTAATTTATAATTTCTTTTGTAAATTTCGTGAAACATTAAAATTATTGAATTATAAAGGAAAATTACCTAAATTTTCTGATTTACAATACGATATGTTAACTGTACGACGAATTGAAATTTATTTAGCTGCAACATTTTTCCCGTTTATGGTAGGTTTCATTGAAAATCCACATCTTGAAATAGATGAAATTATGTCGAATGCCGATAAACAATATGATGTATTATATCGATCCCAAATGTATATCGATGAAATACAAATAATATTGGAACGTTTTTTAAATCGTGGATATTTCGAAAGTTTACTTGAAGATGATGATGATGATTAAATGCTGGGACTTTCATTAAATGCAAATTATGTGATTTTTTAACAAAAATTATATGAAATAACAAATTGTTATTAGACAAAGAAAATATTTTATATTGTTATAGAAATTAAATTGTTGAAGAAAATAAAATATTAAATAAGCAATAAGGCGATTCTCTATATTAAATTCGTAAAATTATTTCTTAATATTCTTAATATTTTTAATAATCAATTTAATTTTGATTTGTAATTTCCGTGAATACCATACATGAGAAATTAAAATTATTTTTGCACTGATTTCATTATTCAAAACTAAAGTGAAAAACTAATTTAGCTCAATAATGTTCATACATTATTGAAACTAAGCGAATTTCAATAATACTGTATCTGCACATGTACGTGTATATATTATATTTATTTAATTTTACAAAAATATATTAAAAAATTGCTGCACAAATTCAAAAAAAACTTGGCAAAATAGCGAAATTATTATAAAAAAAATTTAAATCATTATTTGACAGCAATTTCATTACAATTCGCGTACATGTACGTGTGTATGTAAATACATATAACATAGCCGCAGCATAGTAAATAATGAGCATTAATATTTTGAGAGTAAAAAAAAGCTTTTTGCCTTGTTTACCCATGTTTAAAAAAGTAGTACATATTCACATTATAAGCAGGTGGCATTGAAATTCCACTTTCGTTTTGCAAAAAGAACATAAATAGCAAATGAATTATAAAAAAAAATATCTATGCACATATCTTATCTCTCTCAAAATTCCAAAGTTAAATGAGTAAAATTATATTAGTTACTAAGATAATGTTATATGCAAAAATTCTAAGTTCTTACAGGCAATTATTTTATTTTATACAATGTCAGACAAATTATTACAAGAAGCGAAAAATATTATATGGAGGGCTTATGAAAAAAAATCTAAATCAAATATTTTAAAAAGTTTTGTTTAACTTGAAACAAATTCAATAATTTTGAGCTATTTCACAGATAAATAATATTACAAATAGACCACAAATTAAAGAAAGATGTAATGTACTCGTACCTCTATGATTTTCCAAAATATTAAAATATAAGACTAAAAAATATGAATTAAAATAGACTTTTTCTATTGGGTGCAAATTATTTTTAAATAATTTCTTAGGAATTGGTTTTTGCAATTTACCCTCACGGGTATAAAAACTGCATTATGCGTACCCATATATGAGTTGTAAGAATGTTTGATTCCCAGCTAATTTAATCTTATTTCGTGCAACGATAAATTCAAAGAAGTAATTTTGAGAAGTTGCAACCAAGTTCCTAATTTTCTTGAAAATGTACATATATATTCCTGAAGTAGCACTTTTCTTTATCTCCCAAAGTTGATACTCACTGAAATTACTCTCCGATATCCCAAAAATTTTTTCCATGAATTTTACAACAAATCTACAATATAACAAGATTCTTAGACTTAATCATTTTGTATATTACACAGTTGTGGCCATTATTTTGCATATATAAGGGGGCAATTTTGCAACACTTTCAGGAGCCCTAGAATAGCTATTGGTAATTATTTGTTAACAAGATCACTTATGATAATACTGAAGCTCATTATTTCGAATACATTTTCATACAATTCATCGCAGTACATTTCGCCTTGCGAAAACTCGGATAAAAAATGTCACTGGAAATACTTATAAAATTAATGTCATTTTAAATAAGTTCAGCACTAATTTTGTTTTGAAAATGCCACTTCAAATAAAATTTTGTCATGTTGTGAAATAATTTTTGTTTTTATTAATTCTACTAATTCAAGTAATTTTAAAGAGAATCATAAATATTTGCTTGTATACAAACATATATGTACATATTATTATATGCATATAGGTAATTAGACTAAAAAAAGCTCTTCATTCCGCTCTATAAAAATTCTAATTAAAATACGACGTTCAGTTCATTCATAATATCAGTATTATACGAAAATTTAAACAACTAACAAGTGATCTCAAAATATTTATTTTGGACGGGATTTTTTGCAATATTAATTTTTTTTTTAATTAAAATTTTTTATTTAAATTTTACAATTCTTTCAACATCAAATAAAAATTTAGAATTAGATAATAGTATATCAATGGAATCAACAACAAACGGTACCACATTAGATCCCAATTTATACAATGCTGATGAATTGGTGCCTCCAAAATGGATTAATGGTGAATTTTTTGAAAGTGTTCTAAAAACAGCTAAAAAAGGTAAAAAATACTTTTTATACATTCATTTCTGTAACGATTTGCTTCTCTGTGTCTCAAAAATAATAGTGATAATAGATAAATTAAAAAATTACCTATTAATTTTTTGCATCTTATACGTTGCCCGGTACAATTTTCAACGTCAAATAAATTTAATTTTGAATTTTAAAAAGTGAACAAGCGACAGGTGTTTAAATACAGCTTCCAAATAATTGAATTGAGCCATATTGGTAGTAGGAATGCATTCGGCTTCTTGCCTCTTTACTATTTTCTATTTGTAAATGAGTTACTTTGTTTAATACCATCTCATGTCGATTCTAACTTCGAAATTAATTAATATTTAGTGTATAATTGGCAATATTCGGGGTGAATTATGTGCAAAAGTAACTTAAAATTAAAGACTATCATTGGAAAACCAAAAACTTCCACAGCCAATATGAATACATGTCAATTTAAAAATTTTAATTTTTTCGTCTTCGGTTATAAAAACGAAACACTTAAAACAAGCATTCATTATTATTGTAAAGCATTCCGCATGATAGAATTAGCCGATTTTATGCTAATAGTTTTCTTTCTAATAAAATATAAAATATTTTTTTTAATTTTAACTCCAATTAAAACTAAAATGTTCATTATCGTATAATTTTAGGTGACATTAAAAAAATATTGAATTTTAACATTACCCCAGCATCAGCTAAAGGTGATCACTATGCTAGTATTATGTTCCGTACTATTGTACAATATTTAGATAAATCAGATATTCAACAAGAAATATCACTAATAGTTAAGACAATGCCAGAAGAGGAAGGTACTAAAAAAGACTTTTTAAGTGATGCACCTATATTTCAAGTAGAAATTCAAATGTTTGATGAAATACTTCCGAAATTTGAAGAAATGTTAAGATCAGTTGGTGATAATACCATTTTATCAGCAAAGTATGTTCATTTTAAACATTTTCTTAGTATCGATTGGCTTTAATAGCCAATGGAAATATTTGTTAATTCAATTAGATTTAAACTATACAAAAAACTTTTTTGTTTCTTAGGATGCTGTATCATACATTAAATCCACGAAAAGTAATTGTACTAGAGGATATTACAAAAAAAGGATTTTCAGCAATTGGTAAAAGAATGTGTACAATTGAAGAAGCCAAAATGGCATTAGAAAAATTAGCAAAATGGCATGCATGCAGTTATGTTCTTAATGAAGAGGTAAATTAAATAAATTTTCAACCTTAATTTTAATTTTTAATTTAAGCTCGGCGAATCTAATTTAATTTAAGCTCGCCGAATAAAATAAGCGAATGTTTATATTTATAATCAAACATGTTCGATAGCAACATAAATTGAATTCTTTTAATTAATATATGTATGTTCAATATCTCTTCATATCTCTTCTCCCTAATCCTGTTGTGACTTCTAATATTGTATTAAAAGATATTTCATACCCTATACAAAATAATTTTTACGTACATAGTAGAACGAAGATAAGCTTGTTTATGATAACAAACGATTTTAAATTATTAGATACAGGTTGCCTGTGTATTAATGATATATATGTATACATAATTATGTCGAAAATATTGTAATTTCTCCTATATGTTATATTGTATTTTATGACTTTCGATAACGTATCAAATATTTTCGATAACGTTTGTATATAAAATACCAATAATGTAAGCGATACATAATTGACATACTTCACTCCATACATAAAATGATAATATTTTTTTTATAAAAAAAATACTCGTATTATGGTTAGAAGATTTTTGGTACATGGTTGTACAAAAAAAATCTTTTCATTTTTAGATATTTTAAAAGTTTTTGTAAGGGTAAACTGCAATTTTCAAACTATATTCTAAAACCCATATTCTGTTAGTCCCATCACTTGAGGGAATTGAAAATTATTGAAAAGAATTTCGCTTTTCTGTATAGAATTTCGGAATTTATTTTAATCAGAATATTAGAAATTTTTTCAAGAACAATCCATCAAGTTAAATGATGTGACTAACAGAATATGACTGTTAAAGTTAATTTGTAATTCTATATACAAAACGTTTTTAATCACAAGACCTGCCAACTTTTTAAAAAATTTTAAAATATAATTACAGAATATCTTTATTAAACAGTAAGGCAATATATTATAGACATCAACAAATTATAATATGTAGAACAGACAAGCATAGTTTTCCGATCATTGAAAATATTGTAGGTCGAGTAAATATTTCTGAATAACTTAATTCAAATTTCTAAATTATTTCCAAAGTTTTCAAAAGTTCTCTTTAATTTCTAACAAAAAATTTTCAAAATTAAATTGAACTGGCTGGTTAAAATATTAAAGATCATTTAATGTTATGAGAGAAATAGAACCATCCCTTGTTTCACTATTTAAATTTTTAATAGAAGAGTTCAAATATCTAAAGAAATTAAATTTTCCAGATATAAGGAATTTTCCTTAATTAGTGTTTACTTAATATCTTGAAAATTTGTTTTTAAAAATTTTGTTTTTTACGAAAATTTAAATTTCATTCAAAAATTTCCCTTTCAATTTTTTTCAAATTTCTTTGAGTTTCTTTGAAATATTTTAGTAATAGTCAGAATAGCTCCGATTTGGAAGATTTTTCTTATTATTGAAATCCTTAAAATAAATGTGCCTTTTTTTATGTGTTTTTTTCTTTTTTGTGACAGTTAACATAATATTTTATTGATAAAATCCCTTTTTAATTAAAACGGATTCTTTTTTGTAATTAAAACACAAAATAACCTTTAAAAGACCATAATTATTGTGTGTTTCTTTTGTTATTCAAAACATTCTTAAAGATTTTTCACAATAATATAGAATGTTAAATAGTATAACACTTATTATACAATATAAGTTTTTTAGAATATTACTGCGGATATTTACCGATTCATAACAAATAATAATTCTCGTATGTTATTCACATATATAATGAAATCCTTCTGAAATCAGTTTGAAACTCTAGCCAGATTTTGTATGTTTAAGTATTTAAAAACAAATTTTTCTTTTAAATATTCATTTTAATATCAAGAAAGCGCCAGCTCCTATATCTTGATTTTTAAACTCAATTCTTAATATTATATTTAATGTTATTTTTTTTCTTTTGTAATTCAGACAAATGGCAGTTTAGAAAAATTAACAAATGGAATTTATAATATGAGTGGTTTAAAAACAGATTGGTTTACAAAAGGTGTTGAAAGAGTAGCACAATTAGCCCATGAAACACCAAAACTACATAAATATGCTGAAAAATTAGATCAAGTTAAACATTTGATAATGCCAAAATGTTATAAAACTTATGAAATATCAAAGGATAAAATAAATATAAATGTTTTAACACATGGTGATTTTCATGCAAAAAATTTAATGTTTAAAATAAATCCAAAGACACAATTAAGTGAAGAAGTTATGTTGGTAAGATGAAGAATTTATTTCCATATTTTTTATTAATATTAATTTGAATTTGAATTTTTAGATTGATTTTCAACTTTCTGTATGGTGTTCAATGGTCACAGATCTATTATATTTTATATATTTGACAATTGAATTAGAATCAAGAGAAAAATATTTTGAAGAATTAATTTATTATTTCTTTAGTATATTTCGTGATACATTAAAATTATTAAATTATAAAGGAAAAATACCAACATTTTCTGATCTTCATACTGATATGTTAACTTTATGTCATGTGGAAATTTATTTAGCTACAACTCTTTTACCATTTATGGTAAGTTTACTTGAGAATCCACAAAAAGAACCAAATGATATTCTATCATATGTCGATAAACAATATGAATGTTATCAATCACAAATGTATATTGATCAAATACAACCAATATTGGAACGACTTTTGAATCGTGGCTATTTTGACAATGTAATTGACTATAAAGATGAGGAATAGAATAAAGTGTTACTATGGAAAACTATAACGCATTTAGCATAGTTAATTAAAAAGTGTTAAATGGTTATGATTTATGAACAATATAACATCAATTTTATTTTATAGACTTTAATAGTGCAATTTTTTTCATTAAAATTATAAAATTAAATTAGTTTTTATAATTTTAATTTGTTTTTATAATTTTGTATTAATGTTGTTTAATATTTTTTAATAAAATTTGGAAATTTTGTAAATGAATTAAGATGTTCAATATTATTTTATTGCTTTTTATTACTAAAAATTATTCTTTACGTTACCTAATTCTCTACAATATTAAAAACTTTGGAAAAGTCTTGCAAATTGAGAACGTCAAATTGATTATTTTTAGAGAAAAAATCCATTTGTTTTCATTTAATGCTTTTATCAGAAATTATACTTTTTTAAAGAAATAATGATTTAGGAATTATATTCCTAAATCATAGTTAGAACCCACATTTATTAAACATTATAATAATTAGGAAATTCACAAACTTATGTATCGGAAACAATCACTATCCGCAAATGAACCTAGAAATAATAATAAGGATTTTACATGAGGCTCTCGATGGCATATCATTTCAAATATAATGTATTTCAATTTAAAACACAAATTCCAAAACGACGTTTGAGTTCATGTTGGCAGATCTTACTTAGATCTGAAAATGTAGTGCGTTTTTGTGACATCACTGCAAAAAGGAGATCGTTTTTGTATAAAGAACTTTGAAATATATACTCTTATATTGTCAGCATATGAAAATTAATGCTGCCAATTATCAGAAACTGACATTACCTAAAAATACAATTGATAAGCTATTATTATAAAGTAAAGATGGGAGAATCAATCTTAGTTAATATTTTAATTATTTTAAAGAAATTTTAAAGGCTTTATTCTCTCAATTTTTAAATTTTCTCCAGACAGAAGTATGAATTAAGTTTTAAAATCTGCCAACATGAATTTAACTAACATCTGGGTCTACTTTAAATTTAACTTGTTCATCTTCACCTCATAAAACTTGTGTTTAATGAATGTAAACTTTAACCAGGAATCTCTCTGTAAAATTTATTCGAAAGTAGTCTCACTTTTACGTAAAATTTTAGTTGCAGCAGAAATTATTGCTATAAAGCTTATTTTTTCGCAATAAGCTTTACGTTTGTTAAAAAAAAGGTGTTGAAAGAGTAGCACAATTAGCCCATGAAACACCAAAACTACATAAATATGCTGAAAAATTAGATCAAGTTAAACATTTGATAATGCCAAAATGTTATAAAACTTATGAAATATCAAAGGATAAAATAAATATAAATGTTTTAACACATGGTGATTTTCATGCAAAAAATTTAATGTTTAAAATAAATCCAAAGACACAATTAAGTGAAGAAGTTATGTTGGTAAGATGAAGAATTTATTTCCATATTTTTTATTAATATTAATTTGAATTTGAATTTAGAAAAAGGTAAACGGAAATTTATAAGCTTAAAAGCTTCTAAATTATAAATACAAATACCGTAATCAAGATATACAAATAATACTGTTTTAATACTGTTATCACAATTAATTTATAAAACTGCATATATGTATGCCTGCAAAATATTATTTTTACATTACTTTTTATTAGCAACTATTTAAGAGTCATAAAAATTTGTACTTCAAAAAATTTATTACAGAATTATTTGTATTAATATATTATGCAATTTATAATTTACAATATTACAAGACAGTATTCATAAATTCTTTATTATATTACTGTCGTAAATATACTTTTATGGTAATAGTAATAAATGAGTTATAGCAGGTGAAAAATTGAAATAGGAGTAGATTTGTGGATTAAAGGTAATTTTACGAATTGAAAAGTAATAGTGTTGTCATAAATGAGGAATAAAATTTTTATTACCAACGCATTAACAATTATGAAACACGCACAAGAAAATGTATTTTTTTTTTTAACCAGAAAAGAATGATTTTGAATAACACTATTGCCAAAATAGAAAGGAACTTGCGAGTTTTTATACCCGTACGAATGTATGTTCGAAGAATATACTCAATTTGCCTTACCGTTAGAGTAATAATGGTCTGAGATATAAACTTAAGTATATGTTTTTGATCAGTGTCAAATTCTGAGTCGATTTAGCTTTATCTGTCCATCCGTCCTTTCGCCCCTTCCAACGACAACACAAAAAGTAAATGAGCTAATTTCACAAATTTTCACAAATGATTTAGTATAGTATATGTCAGAACCCTATTTATATTGGATACGATCGAGACTACTGGTTCGGGTAGCTGCCATAGATCTTCAAAATTTATTTGGCTATATCTCAGAAATGATTATAGAAGTCATAGTATTGAAATTTCACACAAGAGAATATATTATTGGAGTCATTGTGTGTTAGCTGGCCTTCTTAAAAACTGTTCAACTTTACCATATTTTCAGTACTGTAAAACCTACAGTACTGAAATATGGTAAAGTGGCAGTTATATTCATTAGAAATTGTTGAAATTTCATGAGCTCATAAGTAAAAGTTATTTGGCATTATCTTAAAAATTATTGGAGCTATAATATAGAAATATCGTGAAAACAAGTGTATTATTAGGGCTGTTATGTGTGATTAAAATCGTTGAAATTTCTTGATTTCTTATAGTAGCTGCCATAGAACTTCAATAGTAGTTTGACATGGTCAACTCTATTTTCTCTCGTTTTAGTAATAATGTTTTATGGGAATAGAATTATTGTAAGGTGATAGGAGAATTGAGATGAATTACAATATATGTATATGAATAATCAAAACTGACAATAAGAGAATAGTTAGAAAAGCCTAAGAACATAATTATTTCCATTTCTTATCTAGAAAGAAAAAATAATTGTTTGTTTTAACAGAATATGGGCACTAGCTTATTTAAAATAATTGAGTATTAGAGCAACAATTTAAATTGATAATCGCTATTTCATAACTATTATTGTAGATAATATTTATGAGATTCTTATGAGAGATTTAAGCTACTCACAATATAAAATACATTTATGTATGTGACATGCGGCTTAAAACATCCCAGGTTATTTATAATAAAATGTATAATGGCAATTTGAAAAAAAAACTCATACAAAGCTTAACAAAAAAGCTTTACATAAATGTTATAAACTAAAGTAATAATATTATTATTGTAAGATAAAGAAATATTAATTCTAAATAATAGCTAGTTTCCATTCAATTAATATTATTATATCAGTATTATTAAATATCTTGAAGAATCAACAAGTATTTTGCAGTAAATTATTTTATTTTTTTAAAACAGCATATTTAAATTAAAAGAAATATCTAAACGGAAGTAATTTATTGTTATCTTCAACATATGGAAGATTTAATGGAAACCGTAAGAAATGACAATATTCCAGATTCTGATTTATATAACGCAGATGAATTGATACCACCACCATGGATTGATGAAGAATTTTTTAAAACAGTTTTGAAAACATGTAAAAATGGTAAAAAAAATTAAAATTTTATCGAAATAGTTTGAGAATTCCGAGATTTTTATTAAATAAAAATTAGCAACTTAAATTAGAAATATAATAATTATTACTAACCATAAGTATAGGCTTCACAATTCATTACTCAAAAGAATTTTTAATAAAGATAAATTTTAGAAAAGTTTTGCCACAAAAAATTAAGTCAAACATTACTAGTTATTGTTTTTATTATTTGATAGCCGAATAAGTTGATCATTTAACCTCCAATCTTATAAGGCGCAAGATTTGATAATATTGCTTTATATTGTGAAAAATATTGTTTTTAAATAAAATTATTGAGCAAAATTTAAATAAAATTATTAAGAAGTTTCAAAAACTAAGACAGTTTCAAAGAGAGTTCTGGTGTAACATATTAAATATTTTTACCATTAATATTTCATATAGTCGGTTCGGTTAATTAATTATAAACCTGCTTTATAAAATCCTTTGATTTCCAAATCTACACAATTATTTCACTAAGTACCGTACCAGGTGAATGAATACTGCTAATTTAATATTTTAACATTGAAATACTATGTTAATTGAAAAGTTGTTAAATTTTGTTAACATAATATTAAAAAAAAATTAGAGCGAATTTTAAATTTTACAATCACTTCGAAATATACAAAAATAAATAAAAATATTTTCTTAAATCTTTTAGGTTTATGTTACTTTTATTAAAAATATCGTCTTTATTAGGACCCCTTTTAAAATTTCACTATAATTTACAAGATTTTTTTCCTATTGTTCTGCAGATGATTTTAAAAATATTATTAAATATAATATTAGTCCAGCTACAGTTAAAGGAGATCATTATGCTAGTATTATGTTTCGTGGCGTCGTCCAATACATGGACAAAGAAAATATACAACAAGAAATATCAATGATAATAAAAACCATGCCAGAGACAGATGGTACAAAAAAGGATTTTTTGAATGGTTCAACAATATTTGAAGTAGAAATTGAAATGTTTCGTGATGTAATTCCAAAATTTGAAAAAATGTTAAACTCGATTGGCTATAGCAAAAAATTAGCGGCAAAGTAAAAATTTTAAGATATTCACATTTAATAATTAATTTTCATTTAATAATATTATTAATATTCCAGTATGCTCTATTACACATTAAGCCCGCGGAAAGTAATTGTATTGCAAGATATTACAAAATTAGGTTTTTCGGCAATGGGTAAACGATTGTGTACAGTTGAGGAATCAAAAATGGCTTTAGATAAATTAGCCCAATGGCATGCATGCAGTTATGTACTTAATAAACAAGTAAGTTTTTATTAATTTATTATTTGATTAGAAAATAACTTTTGTGAGTGTTAACAAAAGAACTAAAATGTGGAGGCAATTGAATTAAAATTTTTTATTTGTAACCAACTATAAAATTTCAATTACTACAAAATATTATCTAATAGCACTTAAATTGCAATAAGAGAAATTAATAAGTGTTTCCATACTACATACATATGCCCATATGCAATATTTTTAATTGAAATATCATGGCAATTTGTAATTAAGTAACTTTTGATAAATTATTATGAAAAATTTGTAAACACTCAGAAATTTCAATGTGCATTTCACTTCCTAATAAAAATTAAGTATATATTTTGATAAGAGACAATAAGTGTTTACATAGTTTGTAAAGCTTTTCTACACTGCATGTTTGGAATTCAAAGTTTTCATTTTAATTAGCATTTAATTAGTTTGTAATACGATAAAAGTATTTACAATTAAATTTAATAAAACTTAGAATATGCACTTAGATGTTGTAATATTTATTACAATATCTGAGTGCTTAATCAAGAGTACTTGTGCCAATATTAATTGATGATATATGCACACGTGACTATAATACCAAATTATTAAATTTCCAACCACTCTCATAATTGGTTCAAATTGCTTTATTCTAAATTAGTCACATAAAAAGTTTTAAATTGTTATAAGACTTTTCAAATATAAAAATCATGCTGAAATTTTATTTTCTGCACTAAAATCGATTTCATAATTTTGTTTAGAAAATTTTTGTGAATTATAAAGAATTTATAATTTTTTTACAATATTTCATGTTCATTAACATTGTCCCTTCTTTTGCTAATTCGAATAAATGGAAAAAACTTTGGAAAAAATTTAGCCACTACGAAATATTAAAAGTGTTAAAGAAGATTTACTAACACAGAATTATAAGCTGCATCATGAACAATAATTAGTTATTAAACATTTTCCTTACGGTTTCATTTCATTTCATAATAATTTGTAATAAAAAAAATTTATTTTCCAATCCCATTCTAAATTTTTTTTGAGACACTATGTTACACCTGCGCTAGTATTGAAATGTAATCTGATAGTTATATAGAAAATTGTAATATAAATATTTGGACACTCATTTACAGTTTTTATTTTAAGTACTTTTAAAGACAGCCAGTCTTTTTTTATACAGACAACGAGCCAAGTAAATTGTATTGTATTTATTTAAATAGGGTGCATATAAGATTTTCAGTAAATTAATACAAAATAACTTGCCATATAAATATTTTACGAATTAAATTTTTTGAATCTTGCATTTTAGTATAATAAAAGAGTGAACTAGCCATTTTGAATGGTTTAGTAAGGAAATTTGCGAACCTATATCACACTAGCCGCTCACACTATTTTATAATTTTTTACGACATTAAACCAGATTTTACAAGTAAAAAATTATTACCATTTTTTCAATACAAGATATTATGAAATGGCAAAATAAGTAATCTAGATGAGTGTTATTCAGTTTATATTTAAATGACTAAGCATGTCCTGTTTAACCAAATTTTTCAAGGCTTTGTTTACATTTAATTTAGTGCCAATAAATCAAATCAATATTTTTTCAACATAAAATTAATTTTAAAAAAATTGCATAAATTTAGGATAATTGAAGTAAATTTAAAAAAATAAAATTCAAAGTAAATCATAAAAGAAACAAACTACTTCATAAGTAGCTAGCTATACCTATAAAACTTAGTTTTTTGAAAATATCAAGCGATTTTAAGCCTGATAGAACAATAATAATTTCTGATGTGTCCCAAATCTTTTATTGATTTAATGTTTTTTTTTGTATTTCAGTTACAGGGCGGTTTAGAGAAGTTTGTAAATGGTATATACAATATGAATGGTTTAATTATGAATCCCTGGTTCATGAAAGGTGGTGAAAGGTTAGCTAAATTAGCTCATGAAACACCAAAATTACAAAAATATGCTAAAAAACTGGACCAAATTAAAGATATTTTATTGCCGAAATGTTCTCAAGTTTATGATTTATGCAAGAAAAAAGGACGTCTAAATGTTTTAACACATGGTGATTTTCATTTGAAAAATTTAATGTTTAAAACTAATCCGAAAACACAATTAAGTGAGGAACTGATGCTAGTAAGTTTAAATTCGATCAATCTTATTCATTATTCTTCTATAATTGTTATAATTCTTTTGTTCCCTATTCTAGGTTGATTTTCAACTCTGTGTTTGGACTTCAATGTGTGCGGACTTATTCTATGCTATTTATTTATTAGTTGATTTAAAACGTAGAGAAGAATGTTTTGATGAATTAATTTATGATTTCTTTTGTAAATTTCGTGAAACATTAAAATTATTGAATTATAATGGAAAAATCCCAAAATTTTCTGATTTACAAATGGATATGCTACTATTAAGACGTCTTGAAATTTATTTAACCGCAACGTTTTTACCATTAATCGTAGCTTTAATTGAAAATCCAAAATTGGATCCAGATGAAACTTTAACTCATGTCGAAGGACAATATAAATTATATGAATCACAGATGTACATTGATGAAGTTCAACCAATATTAGAACGTTTTTTAAATCGTGGTTATTTTGATAATATACTTGAAGATGATGACGAGAACGATAAATAAATAGCATAATGATGATTTCTGGAACAAAGTAGTGCAATTTTATTAATTTTAGCCATTTCATTTAACATATATTGTAACAAATGTTAGTGATTTTTTTGGATTTGTATAACGTGTTTACAGATTTTATTAAAAAAACCTTATTTGCATATAAAAATTTAATAGAAAATTTTATTTTCTTTAGATAATTTTGAATACGCGTTGCAATATAATAAGTTCTCAGTGTTATTCTTAAATTTTGTTGAGCTTGAACATGACTAAAAGCATAGTATTCTCATGCATTCATTCTGTAATTCTATCATGTGCATAGATTTGATTCTGACAAGAATTTTCTAATGAATTAGTCTAGTTCACAGTGTGATATAAAAAAAGTACCTGCAAGGAAATTGTCAGCTCTTAACAATACTTTCTTTATGGTTACCTCCTAGACAAAGAAAGGGAATTTCCTCCGAGAGCTTAGCGTAATATGAAATTTTTAATTTAAATCATTTCCAAAAATATTTTTCTTTACATTTATAACGCAAATACAATCTCAACAAATTAAAATGAAAATTTTACTTTGAAATCAAGAAAATACGGTACGTAAGTACTGTTTAACTAGTTTTTACCTTTTTAGAAAAAAGCTTTCTGAAATCCGGCAACTAAATCAAATTTTATCTACGAATATTATTTTATTAATTTATTTAAACAAAATATCTTAAATTTAAATAGTCTTTTATATTGCAAGATTTATTTTCAATCTCTCTACCTCTCTTTCTCATTCTCTCTCTGTATATTACTGTATTTATAGTCTAATTTGATTATTGTTTTGAGTAAACGTGACTTGCTGAATATTTCCGGTTATAATTAAATACAAAAGTAAACAAAACCAGGTAAAATTTTATAATGAAAGCTTTGCTTACTCAAATTTTTATAAATTACGTAAAAAAAACTGGAGTAACTTGATATTAGACATAGTAAGAATAAAAAAAAACCGGTAAAACAGTTCTCATAATATTCTAGATTTGGGTTTTTGTATTCATATGGATGACGTTTTAAATTAATTCAACAATAAATGTATGAAGGAGTGTAGGTTTAAATATTTGAAAACATAATAAAGCTATAGCATAGTTTTTATAGTAGGGTTGAGTAAAAAATAAAAAATAAAAACTCGAAACAGCCCCATAAATCAAAAAAATGTTGGTCAAACCCATTGTTAGATTTAATTGAACATAGAACCTGGTTAGTGTTTGAATATTCTTCAGAAATAGTTCTTATGAAAAATCATTAAGATAGTTTGTATTTAAAATACTACCTTGAATATAATGTTAGTCAAAATATTTAATAAATATTTTTAACTAGCAAAGTCCCGTCGTGGTGGTGTATCTCCCCCACCCCTCTGTCTTCTCTGCCCAGCATTCAGAATCCATAACCGTTTGTCGGGTTTATTTTACAAAAATAAATTATGATCAAGTAATGGAAACAGAAATCATAAGATAGTGTCGAGAAAAAAATATAATGTTTTGTTTTATAAAACTTTGCAAAGTTTTATATAAAATATAAAACTTTGGATTTGTTTTGATTTGTAAATTATCACCGTGTCTTCACTTTGGGACTACAAACCTTTGTGAGGAAGTTGCGTTGATTACTCTTTTCAAAAGCCGTTTTGAATTTAATAAAAAAATTTGGTGGTCAGCGACCCAAGAAAACAAAAATAATATGGCATTGGGTTGTATTATGAAACTTGATTGTCATATTTTTTTTGACAGAAGTGTTAAAAAAAATTTAAATTACCAAAATATCAACATCAAGAAAATCACTCAAAAGCTTGAAAAATTACTTAAAAAGCACTTAAAAAATCCCTTGAAAAAACCTCCAGCTAAAAAAGCCCAAACCCCAGCTTTCTACCATGAGAATTTAACCGAAAAATCACTCAAAAAATCACTCAAAAGAGTCACTCAAACATTCCCGACGATATTTCTTAAGGTCCATACCTCAGCTTTCTAAGTTAAGCCATTTTCATGTTAGAGCCATTCAAAAATGTCATCAAAAGTGTGAGCGACCGAGAAACAAACATAGCTAACATACAACATTAAACTGTTATTACATTATACGTCATTATTAGATTATAAAAGAAGCTTTCTTATAATTATTAATAATACCTTTGAAATAAAACACTAGAATATTTCAATTGAACAAGCCACCCTTCTTTTAATAATCCATTAATTTAGTATAACAACCTACGGTCCAAAGAATTGTGGTCCACAAATACAAGATTTGTAATGAAAATTTTCTGCATTTTAAGGTTTAGAATTTGAATTAATTAAGCCTGTATTTAAATTTATGTCTATTAGAAATATATACATGGTATATTTAGGCTGTTAATAGTGGCTCGAAGCTATTTTGATTTTTTTAAAAATTTTATCAGATTAAATCGTTTGAAATATTCATAAATATTGTTTATAACATAGTTCTAATTAGTTATTTTACTTTCTCTGTTTAATATCAGGTTTCCCCAATTAATTTCAGTTTCATTCTGTAGAATAACTTATTACAATTTTTTGCAATAAATTAATTAAAAATAAAAGGGAATTAGAAAAGTAAAAAAAAAAGATTTATGAATATATTTTACCGAACATTAAGCCAAAATTATCCGAATTCATAAAATATATTCAAAAATTTTAATCTAAAGTCGATAAACTCGAATCATGAACTATCTAAATCCGATGACATCAATTAGAATTACCCAAACTTTTATTAAATTTTCTTAGCCCTATATCAGAAAAATATTATTATGAATATGTTTACGAGTGATAAATTAGATTAGAAAACTGTTATATAACAATACATTTAATGATTTGTTAGTTTTCAAGTTCAAAGTCAGATTTAATTTTGTTAAAAGATGGTTATTGTTATACAAAAGCCTATGAAAAAATTTTGTAACTAAATTATTTTTAGGTAACTAGGTAAAAGATTATAGTGTTTGTTATTATTAATTTTTTATTAAGATAATAAAAAATACCACAACCCATTTTATAAATCTTTAAAATTTAATCTCAAACTCTTGCCTCCGCTTCTTATCATACAATAATATTTTAAGAAGAGTATGTTTACTTAAGCAAATGTTATAAACTAAAATTGATTTTTGTTTTGAAAAACAAAAATTTTAATTTAGTTTTAAAAAAATCGTCATAATGTTGGTGTCGTAATCACTACTTATAAGCTATCGTTATAATCATCGTTATATTAAAATTTGATCCAAAAAAAAAACTTTTGAAATTCTATTATCTTTTAGTTTTTTGTTGACCTCCAAACAAGTAAGAAGGATTCCCATTTATTTTCTGAAAATTTAAATAAAAAATTTTATTTAAATATTATTATGGCTGGAATTCATTCCGTACCTAAGTGGATTAATACCGAATTTTTTCAAATTGTTCTTGAAAATTATAATAAAGGTTGTAATCTTATAGAAAAAAATATTATATTTGTAATAATTTGAATTAATTTTAAATACAATATGTTTGTTTTAAATAGGCAAAATCAAAAATTTTACTGTAGTACCAGCTGCCAGAGAAGGTGATCATATCGGTGGTAATGTACTCCGTGTAAATATCAATTATATTGATTTTCAGAATAATATACAAGAAATCTCAGTAATTATAAAATTTTTATCGGAATGTAATGATGAATTTGATAAAAAATATCAGAGTGAAGTAAAACTTTTAGAAACTGAATTAAAAATGTATTCAGAAATTATTCCAAAATTTGAGAAAATGTTAAGAGATGCCGGTGATAATACAAAAATTGGACCAAGGTAAGTTATTTTTGAATTATTTTAGACGAAAGTTTATAGGAACAATAAATTTATAATTACTTTTTGCTTAAGTCAAGTTAATTTATGCGGAAAACATTTTACAGTGTTTAATTAGTAAATTTTTTCCTTCTTATAAAAAAAAGTTGTTATTACGCCTACAATGTCCACATGGAATTACATAATTGGTTTATGTCGTTCTGTGATTATAAGCAAAAAGATGTCTAACTTAAATTCGGTAATTTTTCATGTTTTTGCAAATTCAAGTTTTTTCAATTATTTTCGTTTAGTTTTATTTACATTCTGCCAAAAATTTGGTAAATGTTTTTGAGTCAAAATTATGGCTGCAAATATTAAAAAGCTTGTAATTTGGAAATTAGTTCGTAAATCGGTTGGAAAAGCAGTCTAATTTTAAATGTGGGCGATGGTTTTGATGTTAAGAACTGAATATCATAATAATTAATATACAGTTCTGATTGACTGCTTGTAAAAATAATGTCTCAGATTACGGACTAACATGTTTTGTTTATTAATAAGATTATTTTTATATAAGAAAGAAAAAATTTCTATTGATAATTCAACATTTTTGTAGATGGTTTTATTTTATCATTAAATATTTGGATTTCACTTTCTTTTTAAGATTGCTGTACTCTGCTGAGCATCCAAATATGATAATGGTTTTAGAAGATCTTTCGAAATCACAATATTCGGATTTTAGTTATAAACGTTCTCGAATAGATGATAAAACTGCTGACTTAATACTTGATAAATTAGCAAAATTTCATGCCTGCAGTTATAAATTAAATAATGAAGTAAGTTTCTAATTAAACTAATGTAATACAGTTCTGTTATTCTTGTATAATGTCTACATAAAAACACAGAAACAAGTATGGCGTGCAACATTTTGAAATTATTTAGACTAAATATTCATTGATATTAAGTAAAAAACGGCATAAGCTATTGAATAAACTGAAATATACTTGCAAAGTAACATAAAACTAAAATCCTAAACACAAGAAACCAAAAATTTTGAATTAATCTGAGACAAACCTTGCTGTTACAGTTAAAATTGTTGCAATTAAAATTTCTAGAAATATTGTTATACCATTGTTTCACTTTATTCAATCTTGAAGGAATTTTACTGAATTTCACGCTCTCTTAGATTGTTATAAAATCAGAATGATAGTTTCTTGGGAAATTATTGGAAAGGGAGAGTAAAATGGCGTGAAAATGTTTTCAACAATTTAAAAGGAATATTAATTAGATTTAGAACATAACTACTTAAGAATACTCCCGAAAATTTTTATTTTTTTTCAATAACCATAACATATGCAAATTTTAATTGCAGAATAAAAATTGTCTTGAATCATTTGATAATTCAATTTTTAAAGTAAATGAACATCAACTTGTCGACATAATGGGCGGTGGTGTTAAACAACTAATAAAAGTTTTAAAACCATTAACTAATAAAGATTTAAAATTAAAAGAAATTATTGAAATGTTGGAAAAAATAGAAGGAAAAGTTTATGGAAAATGCAAAAATTTATATGAATTTTCGAAAAACAATACAAAATTGAATGTTCTTAATCATGGTGATTTTCATATTAAGAATTTAATGTTTAAATATGATAATAAAGAAATGGTACAAGATGTTCAAGTAGTAAGTATTTTTATTAGATATAAAAAATTTTTAATTAAATTAAAATTAATTTTATTTTAGATTGATTTTGCTATGTGCTTTTGGAGTTCAATGGCATTTGATTTACTTTATGTTATTTATGCAATTTATACACCAGAATTACGACTTAATAAACGTGAAGAAATTATTTATAAATATTTTAAAAAATTCGAAAATTCATTAAAATTAATTGGCTATAATAATGATATTTTACCAAAATTTAGTGATTTACTTTATGATATAATACAATTAGGTCATTTAGAAGTATGGTTTTCAACAACATTTCTTCCACTTGTTTATGGTATTGTACAAAATTCAAATGTTGAAGAATTTACCCAAAAAGAAGATGCACGTTTATCAATGTACAATATACCAGAATTTTTAAAAGATATACAATTAATTTTAAAATCATGTTTAAATTATGGTTTCTTAGATGAATCCTATTACCAGTGAAAAAAAGCCAGAATTTTTTATAATTTTTTAATAAAGTGTTGAATAAAATTAAATTTTTATTAGAATTTTTTATAATATTACGCAATATATTAATCGAATTTAGTTTGCTCATAAATTTTTAGCAATTTTCCAAAAAAAATTTTAAAAAAAGTACTTATTAGTTTTACTCTGTCCATCCGTCTGTAAACATGGTAGCAAAACTTCTACATCCTTGAAGATTAAAAGTTGAAATTTTATGTGTGAAAGATCTCTATTCAATAATTAGAAATTTATTTCCGTAAAAGAAATTTTCACCTATCACCGAACTTCAAACATTTTTTAAATTCCGCAAACGCGGAACTGCTCAATTGAATATTGAACAACCTGTGGACATACATGAATATGTATATATGAATGTATGTCTACAAGATAAACCTGAACATGGTACAATCTCTCGGCGGCAACAAGTTGGAACGATTTTACGTATATCACTGCCCTGGTTAGTATGAGGCTAGCGCTTTAAAAATTTTTTCCGGACTGCTTCAATCAAGTCAACTTTGATGTAATTCGTATGTTTTTCCTGAATTTATTTTAATAAATTGGGAAAAACATACGAATGAGAGTTTCAAAAGGAAAAATGAGAGTTGTTCTCTTTACGCGGTGGCCTTATACATACTTACCAGGGCAGTGCATATATTCAAAAAAAATTTTAATTTATAAATATTCATAAGGAAATTTTTTTTCTTCTTATTTCATGATAATTAAAAATTGCTGTCAATTCAAAATTAGAATGTAAATCAAAATTTTTTAATTCAATCAGAGTAACATTATAAATAGAAATAATATAGAAATTTTTAGAATTAAATTAAAATTTTACAATGAATAACAAAATGGATGAAAATAAATTAATCAATGTGTGGAAGCTTTTATAAGGAAACACCCAACTTATACAGAGCTATAGAAGACAACAATATTTCAACCTAATTCCGTATAGGGAGGAGGTCAAGGATAAAAACAAAATTCTATTATGTGAATTCTATAGTTTATTCTGAAAATAGCCCAAATACTTGAAAAAATGGATTGGCAAATAAAACGTGACAAAGGTTGAAGTTACATTAAGAAAAAATTTAATTTGCAATAATTGGGTAACTCAATTTTTCTTTAAATTTTAGATATTATATTTTCTACCGATTAAAAGAGAGTCATAAAATAATAATTGCAATTTAAAATTTGAATAGTTGTAATCAAACTCGACATTTTTTCATATATAGGTACTGTATATTTTTCTTGTGCTTTCCAAAAAAAAATTTGAAAAAAAGTGTATCGCTCTGTCAGTCCATCCGTACGTGTGTCAGCTCCCAAAACTTCAATATATTTAAAGTTATATTTTTCAGAAAGTTAAAATTTTATACAGAAATATGTAGATCCGCGAGCAAAAATTGTTTTATTATCGGGTACGAGTATTTAACCCACAAATACGAAACTAAAAACATTTTTAAATTCTGCAACTGCAAATATGTAGCCTAATGTTGTTTCTACCGGGACATAGCTAAATTAAACAATAAAAAGAAAAAAGGCCCTTAAAATTACCCGTTATATAAATCACGTTTTTCTTTCAAATTTTTGCTATAGTTTTTCTTCTTAAATGTATGCAATTATTAATAATTAATGGATTTACTCAAATACAGTTCATCACTTGCTCAAAGGAAAAATAGTTTTTTTTACAAACCATTGAGTTGACCCAACTTTGTTCGTATTATTTTCTGTTAATCTGTTTAATTTAACATAAGGGTATAATTCTAAGTATAAAGAGTAAGACGAACAAGTATTCGGTAAAGAAAATTTTTAATTTTTCCAGAACAAAAACATTTACTCAGAAATTATTTATACACGGTTGATTCTGTAATTAGCAGAATAAAATTTTATTTAAAATTTTAGTGTATACATAACTACATTATATTAGAAAAAATATTGCATACATTTAGGATGAGCAAACGACAAAAATTAAAAGAAACGATGATACAATGGTCGTATTTGATGGTTAAGTAAATGAATTACGATGAAATAATTATATGATATGATGGCGAAGCTCACAGTTTCGGAAATATGTGGCTACTTGGGAGAGGGTGGAAATGAAAAAAATTCTAAAGTTGCTAAAATTTGAGACTCACAGTTAGAAGAAAAACCATGTCGAAAATCTTAGAAAAAAAACGGGTTTTAAATAGCGCTTAATTCCAACGGTATCGTATTACGGTATCACGCTAGAAGAAGCCTTTCATTACTTTCCTGCATATTAAAACTGCATTAAAAATAGTGTATTTAAGACTTTGAGGGGCTATAGCCGCTTACATTTGCACGCATATAAATATTTTGAACAAAAATGAAATGATTACGATATTATTTTAATTTTAATTGGTCATTGTTTATTTAGGTGGTAACTTATTTTTATTTTTAAAATCAGTTGCAATTATTTACAAGAATAAAGAAAATTTTCATTATCAAAGTTAATAGCAAAATATTAAAGCACAAAAATCGAATTCAAAGCATCCGCATTTTCACTTCAGTTTTATGTAAAATATAAAATTAAAGTTTATTAAAATTTAATTTATTTAAAAAAACCACAATTTTTAAAATTTCAAAATATTTTATCAGTATTATAAAAATTGAAACTTTTGAAATTTTTCCCTCTTTCGATCATATCATTTAAAATCTAGGCATCTTATTGTAATTTACTCATCCCTTATATACTCATTTCACATACATTCATTTATAATGTAAAAGAATTTTAACCACTCATACTTAATTTATTTTAAAAATTTTCACATAGAATATTAAATAATTAATTAACTACAAAAAAAAATTTATTTTAATTAAATCTAAATTATTCCGAAGGATTTCAATTTTAAAATTTAAATAAAAACAAAATACATAAATTAGTTGACTAGCTAGCTATATACATACATATAAAAAAAAATTTTTTCATTTTCAAAAACAAAAGTTTTTGGAATTAATTAAATATTAAAAGAAAAATATAATAATTTCGTTTCGTAAATATCCCGATTGGTTATGATACGGAAAACTTTTTCTAATAAAAAAGAATTCAAAGATTTGAGAGTATGGTTAACATTTAGTTTCTTCCATCCTTAGAAGGTCATAGTGTTGGTGTATGATATCGCAAATAACCATGAACCAGTTTCTTGCGTCATTGAGTTTTACTAGGTAGGTGACGAGACTCCGTAGTAACATCTAATTACATATACATGAAATAAATATAAATTTCTCTAAATAGTTACAATGACATTAAAATATAATTTAATTAAACTTAAACCAAGTTTCAATAATATTATACTCGTAATATGGCTAGGCTCTAATTACTATTATTGGACGCAATATTTTTAATTAAAATCTCAGATACAAAACTCAAAAACTCATCAGCTGTGCTAATTTTTATGGAAAATTAATATGTACGCACGAATTACACAAAATCTTTTATTCTCAATGGGAACAAACTAGCATAAGCCTAGCATAAAATTAAATTCCAGAATCATAGAACCCAGAATTTCGCATATTAATTTGTGATTTTGTGATAACATCTTCACTTTTATGATGCTGGGCTCCGTAATATTTCGGGACAGTATTCATTTCAATATAAATTTCAAATTAGAATTTTAACCCTAATCCATGCATATCTCGGGAAAATAAAACATATGAAATATTGTTAATCCTTTTTAAAAAGAAACCCATAATGTAGAGATAACAATTTCAGAAGCAAAAAAAAATCTATTCAAAAAAGGAAAACCTACACGTATCGTAGATCATTTTTTGTACAAAAGAATCTTATTTAAAGATTCTCAATATGTGCTTCGAATATTTAATAAAAAAAAAAAACTTTCTCATTGTTTTTTCATTATTGTTTTTATATAATACAAAGCAGACTTAAATCCAAAAATATTATGAATAGAAAAAAATTAGAATTTTATGGTTATAAATTGAAGTAAAAAAACTATTTCAAAGTTCAAAAACAAAAATTTTATATGAATTTAATTTTTAACAAGAAAATTATTTTTAATGAACATGCAAATAGTTTCAATTCATTCTAATTAAACAGCTCGTACCTACATTTTTAACGTAATACAAGTAAACCTTTCTGAATTGTGTAACAAAGTCAATTGTAGAGTGAGAACTAATTTTTTTGTTTAGTTGCTCAACTACACTTATTATATTACTTTTCAGTTACAGCTACTTTCTAAAAATATTTGCATTTTTTATTTACTTTGAATAAAAAATTTAACTCTCAGTTTGTAAATAATAGTCTTGGTGTTTGATATGCAAAGGTACATAGATCCTTTTCCTTTCATAAAATTGTAATTAAATTTTTAGTTTGTGGCAGCTTCGTTTATTCCTCTTATATACTCACAACTCTTAACAATGGATAGATAAAATAAATAGATTAGGTTTTGCTGTACGGTTTTTCGTAATAAAATTTTTCTAACTTCAGGGACTATTTTTGAAAACCTAATGCGTTAGAAAATTAATTTTATTTTTGAGAAAAAATTTTTCAACAATATACTTATCACAATACTTTTGACATAGTAGCTTTCTTGTTTCGCTAAGATCATTGATATGCTCAGCAGATAGCCGAACTCAAAGTTTATTTAATAGTTTAAGAAAAGGTTAAGAAAATATCTTTTAGGCATACTTAGATACCTCAAAATCTATAACAAACCCGGAAAGTTCTTAGTCAATTAAAATTTGTTCTTAATAGAGCTGTAATATAATACGAATTAACTGAAAAGTTTATGAGTTAAAAGAAAATTTGATCCTTTGTAAAATATTAGTTGCTGGCAATTGATTTATGTATATAAAACCTAGAAGTCCATATATAAAATTTTCATAAAAATTATTAAAAATTAATTGTTGTAGAGTCATTATCCTTGTAGTCATTTCTGGGCATGACTAGAACTAAACGATTAGCTGACATCCCTCTAAAAATAACTGATTTACATTTTTCTGTGAAATAG